TAGTGGGATTGCCCACCGAACAGGATTTCTCAGTAGACCACGGAGCACGTTCCTCAGCACTAGCAGGGCAAGGGTTCAAAACGAACAAGACATTTTGATTTGATGACTTCGCATTTTATTTTTAAATACAGATGGAGTTGCTGTAAGTCCGACCAAGTTGCAGTAAGACCACCCCAGCGCTCCAGGCCGCGAAGGCACGCCCTGTTTTAAAGCAATGCCAGTCTTGTTAACACAGACTCAAGCCCACAGACAGACTGTGGTGTTTTGCTGTTCTGTTTATGCACAAAGGAATCCTTAACGTGTTTGTCCTCAAGGAGCAAAGAAAAGTATCTAGTAAAAAATGCAAATCAGATCTGACAGTGAAGCTTTCCAGCAAAAGCCTTCTGCTCTAGAATGCATAATATACTCAAGCATAATAAGATCTACTACTACAGACTTCTAGCATAATTACCTGTAGGCAGCAAAAACTGAGGGAACTGAGTGATTGGTGTCTCGGATCTGGAGCTCTCAACACGGTGAAGAACAACAGAAAGGAGGAGACAGCTGTGGTTTATAAAAGAGGAGGTGACTTAAAAACGATTTCTGTAGCAGTCTTCATAAGTCCTGTCACAGTCTTGACACGTTTATCTGCTGTTGAGGCCGCATTTGCTGTTTATAACCTTGGTCTGAAAAACTACACATTATGTATATGATTATATGGCCCAGAGCCAGAAATGCTGGAGGCAGCAAGCCAGAGGTCAAAATTATTTTTTTCCTGAATAAGATTAAATCCTGACAAGATAATCAGAATGAATTTCACATAGTGAAAATCTTTCCAGCTGAAAGTCTTAAAACATTGCATCCGGAAAAGACCTTAGTCTTACTGCTCCCAGGGTGGTACTATATCGTCATTAAGCAGCCCACAGATAAGGGAGTTACTGCTCTCTGGTTATCAAGCTGTCAGGAGGTAAATGATGGAACCAAGTTGGATTTGAAACACTCAAGACAAAAACCTTGCTTTGAGCCGTCAAAAAGGCATTTTACTGAGAAGTAGGACCCAGATGCTGGGACTGTTAACTGATGCCTAAAGGCAAAGGGTCAGGACTTTCAAAAAATTACTTTGGGGTCATCTCGTGTCAGCAACAGTCTGATGTGAATATAGATAATGAAATTATGAAAAGGAGGAGGAAAGTGAGAGCAATATATGCCATAAATAAGAGGCTGTCTTCCCTGCCTTCTCATTTCCTACATGTAATACAGAAACCTGGTGCATAGGAGGCATACAATAAATATTCGGAGCCTGGATGAATAAGGGAAGAAAGCTAGCAAGCTGCAGGAAGGTCATGTAGTTGGGAGAGGGGAACTGCAGAAAAGCTAGGGGGCTCAGGGCCTCTGATCCTGCAGTGTCATCCCCATCCGCTATGATACAGCTGCATGACTCCGTCATAATACCTCAAGACAAATCACCTGCCTTACAGAGACTAGCTCTTAATTGTTCCCACCACAAAAAAATAATTATGTGACATAACTATTTCACTCTATAGTGTTAATCATATTGCAGTATATAAATATCAAATCAACACATTGTACACCTTAAACACAATGTTACAAGTCAATTATGTCTCAATTTAAAAAAAGATATACAGTAATGTTTAAGAGAGTGTACTCTGGAATGAGACAGCATGGGTTCAAATTCTAGCCCTGACACTCAACTTGGGCAAGCTAATACATCAGTGACTCAGTTTTGTCATCTGTAAAATGTGGATTGTAACTATCTAACTCAGGGATGTTATGGGACTTAAGTAAGTTTTATATATATAAAGCTATTATCAGCACACTAAAAATGCTAATTGAGCCTCATTAGCATTAGAGTATTGTGATAAACATGAAATTAGCCTGCACACCAGACATACTCATTCTTTTGGATTTGCCCCTTGGATGAGCAATGCTTTGATGTTCTAAGGGCATTTGCCAAACCGTAGTCACAAGATTTCATAGGAGATCCTGATGGGTGATTGAGATTTCACCATTTCCAGATTGACATAAGGCAGGTCTTGATAGGAGATACAGTCTGAATCTGTGCTTCAGCCTCCATGAAAGGCAGGCAGGTAGGCACAGAGAACCTAATCTCCCCCAGAGATAGGGCCTGCCTCCAGGTAAATCCAGTCGGACAAGGATGAAAACTTACCTAAAAAAATCTTTAGCTGTACATATAAATGTAAATGGGTTAAGTATTTCAGAAATGTGAAATAGTTTAAATAAACTGGTAAGACTTTTTTTGTTTGCAGTAGCGTTAGACCGTATTAGTTTGAGAAGATGTGTTTTCAAAGTTTGTCACTTGGGTATACAATTTAACATCAAAAAGTTTCTAAACTTCTAGTACTACTGGGAAATAAACCAAGTTGAAAAGCTCAAGTCACATGTCCATTTATTCTATAAATACTATCGATGTCTAGTCTGTACTGAGAATTTTGAATTGCTTTTTTATTGAGATATAACATACACATGTAGAATGCACAAATCTTAAGTATACAGTTTGATGGATTCTGCATTGCATCCATGTCACCACCATCCAAATTAAGATGTAGAAATTCCCAGCAGCTCAGGCTTCCTTGTGCCTCTACCCAGAAGATAACCATTTCTGACTTCTATCATCAGGAATAATTTTCCTTGTTTTTGCATGTAAAAAAGATTCATGTAGTGTGTCTTCCTTCGTCCCTGGTTTCTTTTGTTCAACCTTATGTCCAAGAAATTCATCTCTGGTTATGTGCAGCTATAGTTCATTCTTTTTTTATGCCATTCACACATATTGAATTAATGTCGCAATTTGTCTATCCAGTATATTAAAACAATCTTACTCCATTTTCAGAGTCTAGAGATTTAAGATTTTTTTTAAAAATACGATCTCATGTTTGTTTGCAACTTCAGTATAGTTCATGC